TTTAATAGGAACGAGAGGAAAGGAAAGAAAGGAAGTGCACCCAAAAAGGGTTTTGGACGGGCAGATTGCCAGGTGGCAACGGCGCTTGGTACTAGTTCACCGTTATTTTTATTACTAGAGGTCATGAATATTCATTAGTGGGAGGCCCCTTACGCTGCCTATGTCCTTCATTAAATCTGAACCCACACGTTCCTTTCTGCACCTGCGCACCTTCCTCACAGGTAAAGAATGAGGAACTTGATCCCCTAATCGCGCTCGCCCAGTGTGAGCCAGGCTGCCCCAATTAGACTGCCCAGTGAGTCCATTGCCCTAATGGGAATTAGGGCATTGACCAAAATGCTTGCTTAGGTCTTTCTGATAAGAGAAAAATCTACGAACCATCCCTGTGCGCTTCCCTCACGCCCCAAGAAAGGAAGATGGCAAATTGCCTCGCCCTCCCAGCGCCCGGGGCTAGGGGAGCCTTTCGCTTTGCTCTTAGGGCTGCCCGCTCACGGCTAACTAACTGCCTACCACAGAAGTCCAGCGACGTAACCATTATGCCGTCTGCTGGGTCCAACTTTTCAAGAAATTTAGGGACTTGGACCGGCCCCATGGCACAGTTGTTGAGGGAGCCAACCACATGGCCAACCACGGTTCAGATCCTGGCCCTGGTGGCTTAAAAACACGCAGCGTGGGGCCTGCAGGTGGTGTGGTGGCGAAGGCGCTAGACTCCCCCATGGCCAACCATGGCTGGAGTCCTAAACTTGGCAGCTTGATCATTCTTGCTGCGGTTGATTTCTCATGTTCTGTCTCTCTCTGTCTCTCTCTGGCAAGACCACATGCTCTATGGCAAAAACCTAAAAAACAAAAATTAAAATAAATAAATAAATAAAAAACCACACAGGGTGTGTGTGTGTGTCCAAAATTCTGATTGGAGTGAGGAATAGAGGGAAGAAGATAGCAGTGTGACCCACCCCACTGGGGGGTACTTTCTCTCTCTCTGATGAGCATGTGTGCCCCCTAGGAATGAAAATAAATTACACACACGCGCACGCGCAAACCAGGGCGCCAAACGTTGGCACAGCAATAAAACACTGTGAGGCTGACCTACACAGGAAGGTTCTGGGTTCGCGCCCAGAGACCTGCCTGAGCATGTGCACTCCCTGAGACCTCTCCAGGGCTGGCTGGGGCCGGGCGTGGCTCGTGGTGTCGGGACCCTGTTGAGGGTGCTAGCTCTCTGTCAGTCTCCTTCACTTGCATAAGAAAAAAAAATTTTTTTTTAATTTAATCCTCTGGGACCAGCAGATGACATAATGGTTCAATCACTGGATTCCCACATAGTTGACTGCGGTTCAAGTCCCAGACCTGGTGGCTTAAAATTCATACCAGGAACGTGTGTGTGCGTGTGTAAGGTGCAGCGAGGAGACTGGAGAAGGAATTGCGGTGTGGCCATCCCCCCCGGGGGGGCGTGATTTCTCGCTTTCTGTCTCTCTGTCTCTCCAGTGAGTGCCAGCACCCTATAGCAAAAATCTCTCTCTAGAAAATCAAAGGAATGCAATTCGCGAGCTCGTGGAGCTTACCTTGGACCTGAGAAGACAGGCGGGTGGTGCCAGCACCCTACCCGAAACTGAGCTGTGAGGAGGCGGGCGATGGGAGGACAGAGGTCTACACAGGGCCAGGGTCTCCTGCAGACAGGGCACAGGGAGAGCTCGCCCACGGGCTGTGACAGCAAAGCTTGAACGAGGTGAGGGAAGCGTGGGCTGAGTGGAGGGCACAGAGGAGAGTCATGGGGAGGCCCTGGGCAGGACTGTGCCCGACACCAGGACAGCAGTGAGGGAGCGGAGGACAGGAGGCAGAGGCAGAGAGGGGACGCAGGGACAGTCACAAGAGGCCTCCAGGTGGCGGCGAAGCTCTGCTCTTACCGTGAGGGAGATGGGGCCACAGGAAGGTGGGCATGGAGGGACAGGCGCTCAGCCTGCTCTGTGGGGCTCACTCTGGCTGCCTGGTGCGTTGGGGCAAGGGTCGGGGAGGATGGGCTGGTAGGGCCAGGATGGAAGCAGGGCAACCAATAAGGTGACTGCAACAGTCCAGGCAGCGGTAACGGAGGCTTTTATGGTTTGTTTGTTTGTTTGTTTGTTTATTCTACAAGCAAGGGAGACAGAGAAAGAGAGACCCCTCCCAACAGGGTCCTTGCATTGCAGCCTTCCCCTGGCCTCCTCCCACGAGGCCATGTGGGGGGGGGGAGCAGAAGGGGAGGCCTGGGCTGGGTCAGAGAGCGGGGACAGGGAGGAGCCGGCAGGGCCAGTGGACCGTGCAGCTGAAAAGTAGGAGGCTCAAGCCCCGGGGGGCTCTTAGGTTTCAGGGTCTCCAGGCAGGGCGGGCCAGTCGCCCCCAGAGGCTGTGTAGACCCCCCAATCACCGTCATTCCGACACGGTTGGGCTAGCGTGCCTCCCATAGCGGGTCACGCGCCCCCCAGATGTCCTCTTCATTCCTCTGCTCAAATGGAGCGACAGCTGCATGCCAGGCCCCAGAAGTGTTCTCCGGGAACAGAACGATCCCGTGACCGGGGGAGAAGAAGGTCACCCCAGAGGCAGATTTGGTTACCAGGCAGGGGGAGAAGGCCACAGCGCCATTCTCCGGCCCCAGCCCCGCGCCCAGGGCAGCCGGCTCGCTGGCAGCTGAAAAGGCCTGGAGGTGGGAGCAGAGCCCGAGGCGCGGGGCTCCGGCTGGAGTGTGGGTGCCTGGGGAAGACGGGGCTGGTGCAGACACTGCCTCTGCTCCGTGTCTTGCTTGTTTAATGCCAGAGGAGGGAGGAGCAGCCTGGTCACTCCGCAGCTCTCCTTCCTCCAGTTTTCCATCCCGCCAGGATCCGGCCTGGGCGAGGACTTGAACCCTGGCTGGCCCTATGGGATCCAGCTTCTGTGCAGTGCCTAACTGCTGCACTATGGTGCGGTCCCCTCCTTTCGGTACTTGCCGTTTGGCTTGGTCAAATCGCTTCCCCTCCCGAACCCCTTTTCCTCCTGGCTCTACCCCACTCATGCCCGGCCATCAGGTGTGGGCTGCTGGTGGTCAGTGCTCAGAGGGCGGGCGCAATGCTTTGGGCCCTGCCGCGGTGGGTGGGCCTGGGCTTGGGAACCTTGGCCGGAGCTGAGGCCCTGTGAGTGTGAAAGGAGATGGCAGGCGCTCTGTCACTCGCCCTCACTGCGTCCTGGTAACCTTTGCCCTTTCACACCTGCACTGGCCCCCTGGGGGGAGGCCCACGCCCCGGGTCTGGAGGGACTGGAGCCGCCTTCCTGTATCTCCCACCAACGACCATTTGAGGGACTCCTGGAGGGCGCGGGTCTCTCCTTATCACTGGAAACAAGGAAGGCGCTCTCCTCCTTAAGCAGCTGCTGGTGAGATCAAAGACTCACTGGGAGGCCAAATGGTGACTGCCCTTAGAGGCCGGCCCACATGCAGAGGTCCCGAGTTCATGTCCAGGGACATCCCTGAGCACGGCAGACACACACGTTCGTGTTCTCAGGCTGGCTAAGGCCGGGGCACAACGCAGCATGAAGACCCTACTGGGGAGGCCAGTAGGTAGTGTGGTGGTTAAGGTGGCTGGGTTCGCCCATGACTGACTACCGTTCAAGTCCCAGACCCAGAGGCTTGAAAAATCATGCCGGGCACATGTGCATGTGTGCCCAAAATCCTGAGAGGAGAATGGAGGAGAAGGGGTCGCAGCGTGGGCATCCCCCCAGGGGGTGACTTCTCATTTTCTCTTTCACTGTCGCTCTCCAGCAAGCCACCAGGTCCAGGACTTGAACTGTGTCGGCCATGTGGGAGGAGTCCAGAACCCTTAACCACCACACCACCTGCCAGCCTCAAGATACATCTTTGTTTGTTTGTTTGTTTGTTTGTTTTTGAGAGGATTTTGCTATAGGGCATGTGTGCTCACTGGAAAGACAGACAGAAAGCGAGAAATCACCCCCTGGGGGGATGGCCACGCTGCAATTCCTTCTCCTCCATTCTCTTCTCAGGATCTTGAGCACGCACGCACATGCGCCCGGAGTGTGTTTAAGCCACCAGGTCCAGGACTCGAACCATGGTCAACTATGTGGGAGTCCATCATGACATAACCATGATGCCATCTGCTGGTCCCTGCTTCTTCTTCTTATTATTATTATTATTAAAATTTGCCATAGGGCACGCACACTCACCAGAGAGAGAGTGAGTGAGTGAGTAAGAAAGCAAGCCACCAGCTCCAGGACCCGAACTGTGGTTGGCATGTGGGAGTCCAACACCTCCATCACCTCACCACCTGCTGGCCCCTACGTCATTCCTTTTAATCCCCAAGCAAGATTAAAACTTTGAGGCAGAGATTACAGTTATGCTCACGTACAGATGAGGAAACCGAGACTCACAGAGATGAGGCACTAAAAAGGCAGGTGTAACTTAAAGAAGTTGAGCCAAGACGCAGACATGGAACCGCTAATCTGCCTGGTAACCAGTGACGTCACTACTCACACCCCACGGCACCGCCCAGCCTGTGCGCTGACTGATGCTCCCGCGTTGCGGTGACTCAGCCGTGACTCAGAGTCTGGGTTTTGCACGTGGGCTCGGCCGCTCTGTCGCGGTGCAGGTGTGAACACGTCACCTGACTTGTTTGTCCTCGGTGGCCTCCTCGTTTGTAAAATGGGGTGGCGCCTTCGCGTCTCCCGGAAAGTGCAGAGTAAACGCGTGGGAAGCACTTAGCCCCACTTTGCGGAGAAGGATCTGCGTCCCGCCCGCTGTGCGGCTGCGACACCTCACTCAGCCGCGCTGTGCCTTGCTTTCTGCATCCATAAAATAGGGATAATGATGGTCATTCCTTTATGAGACTGCTGTGACATTGTCGTGGGCGTCTGGCACACCATCCCCACTCTCCAGATGAGGAGGCGGGGCTCTGAGAACGGAAGTTTCCGGCCAGGGCTTGAGACAGTGGCCCGAGGGCTCCCGCGCCCACCTCCCCTCCAGCTCATGGCGTCTCCCCCTCCTACAGCCAGAAGTTGCCAGGCGAGTACTTCAGATACAAGGGCGTCCCCTTCCCCGTTGGCCTGTACTCACCGGAGAGCGTCAGCTTGGCGGAGAGCGCCACGGACGTGCGGGACGACGACATTTTCATCATCACCTACCCCAAGTCAGGTACCCGGGGCTGGGCGGAGGGGTGGGGTGAGAAGGGCACGCGGAGGGGAGGAGGACGGAGGACGGGAAAAGAGCCTGGACGAGCTTGGGCGAGCTTGGGCGAGCCTGGCTTCGCACTGGCCGGGCCCCTGCGGGAAGCCCCTTTCCTAAAACCGCCTGATATCCCCACATACCCATGTCAGCAGTCACCCACGCCCTCCCGGACAGCCCTGGTGACCAGGCGCCAGCTCCTGTCTCTCCTTGTCCTCTTAGCCTCCTCCTTTTCTTCATAGCAGTGTACCTACCAGTCACTAATATTTTCCAGGTCAAGTATCCTTAATCCGAAATGCCTGGAACCAGAAGTGGTTTGGATGTTGCATGTGCTTGGATTTGGGGATATTTGCATATGCATAATGAGATATCTTGGGGCTGGGACCTAAGTCTAAACGCAGAATTCACTTACGTTTCCTATACCCTTTATGCTTAGAGCTGAATTTTTATACACTGTTTGAGAGCCATCCCATGAGGTGAGGTGTGTCATTTTCCACTTGTGGCATCAAGCAGGTGCTTGAATATGTTCAGAATTTTATTTTATTTTATTTTATTTTATTTTATTTTTCACACCCCACGGCACCGCCCAGCCTGTGCGCTGACTGATGCTCCCGCGTTGCGGTGACTCAGCCGTGACTCAGAGTCTGGGTTTTGCACGTGGGCTCGGCCGCTCTGTCGCGGTGCAGGTGTGAACACGTCACCTGACTTGTTTGTCCTCGGTGGCCTCCTCGTTTGTAAAATGGGGTGGCGCCTTCGCGTCTCCCGGAAAGTGCAGAGTAAACGCGTGGGAAGCACTTAGCCCCACTTTGCGGAGAAGGATCTGCGTCCCGCCCGCTGTGCGGCTGCGACACCTCACTCAGCCGCGCTGTGCCTTGCTTTCTGCATCCATAAAATAGGGATAATGATGGTCATTCCTTTATGAGACTGCTGTGACATTGTCGTGGGCGTCTGGCACACCATCCCCACTCTCCAGATGAGGAGGCGGGGCTCTGAGAACGGAAGTTTCCGGCCAGGGCTTGAGACAGTGGCCCGAGGGCTCCCGCGCCCACCTCCCCTCCAGCTCATGGCGTCTCCCCCTCCTACAGCCAGAAGTTGCCAGGCGAGTACTTCAGATACAAGGGCGTCCCCTTCCCCGTTGGCCTGTACTCACCGGAGAGCGTCAGCTTGGCGGAGAGCGCCACGGACGTGCGGGACGACGACATTTTCATCATCACCTACCCCAAGTCAGGTACCCGGGGCTGGGCGGAGGGGTGGGGTGAGAAGGGCACGCGGAGGGGAGGAGGACGGAGGACGGGAAAAGAGCCTGGACGAGCTTGGGCGAGCTTGGGCGAGCCTGACTTCGCACTGGCCGGGCCCCTGCGGGAAGCCCCTTTCCTAAAACCGCCTGATATCCCCACATACCCATGTCAGCAGTCACCCACGCCCTCCCGGACAGCCCTGGTGACCAGGCTCCAGCTCCTGTCTCTCCTTGTCCTCTTAGCCTCCTCCTTTTCTTCATAGCAGTGTACCTACCAGTCACTAATATTTTCCAGGTCAAGTATCCTTAATCCGAAATGCCTGGAACCAGAAGTGGTTTGGATGTTGCATGTGCTTGGATTTGGGGATATTTGCATATGCATAATGAGATATCTTGGGGCTGGGACCTAAGTCTAAACGCAGAATTCACTTACGTTTCCTATACCCTTTATGCTTAGAGCTGAATTTTTATACACTGTTTGAGAGCCATCCCATGAGGTGAGGTGTGTCATTTTCCACTTGTGGCATCAAGCAGGTGCTTGAATATGTTCAGAATTTTATTTTATTTTATTTTATTTTATTTTATTTTATTTTTGCTATAGGGAGCACATAGCCAGAGACAAAAAGAGAGAGGGAAAGTGAGCAAACACCCGCAGGAGGGATGGTCACATGGCAGTCTCTCCTCCATTCTTCTCTTGGGATTTTGGCCAGCACGCATATGCACCTGGACCATTTTTCAAGTCAGTGGGTCCAGAACTTGAATCACGTCGGCCGTGTGCAAACCAGCCACCTTAACTCTGCGCCACCTGCTGGCCCAAGCACTTCAGGTTTGGGATTTTGAATTTTCAGATTAGGACTGCTTAATCTGTATTGCTACTGGCTTATTTTTAAAAATATATATAACGAATTATTTTATTTGACTTTATTTATTTATAACTTGACCAGAAAGGGACAGAAAGAGAGAGAGAGAATGAGAACGCTGCCAGGTCCGGGACTTGAACTGTGGTCAGCCATGTGGGAGCCCAGCGCCCTTAGCCACACCGCCTGCCAGCCCCCTATTGGCTTTATTTAAACCCACAATTGCTGACATTACCGGGTAGAGTCAGGGTCACTCTCACCAAAGGAAGGTGCAGAGGGAGTTGAGTAGAGATGACAAGAGAGGGTCTGCAGAGTCAGGGAGGCTCTCTGCGAGGACATGTCCGCTCTGAGATGTGGAACTCGTGGAGGGTTTGAGTGGTGATGGGGTTACAGATGGCGCCCTGGACAGAGAAGGAGCATGTGTGAGGCCCTGGCGTGGTGGGGGGAGGCATGGGGGTCTGAGGGAGCTCCAGATCAGGGAGGCTGAGTGGAGGCTGCAAGGGAGAGGGTGGGGTGAGCCTGGAGGGAACACATCCTTTTGGAGCCAAGGTGAGGGTCTATAGCAACCTTACTAGCAGTGCAAAGAGAACCCTCTGGAAGGTTTCAGATACAGAAGAGACGGACTTCCCGGGGCAGGCAGGTGGCATGGTGGTTAAAGGTGCTGGACTCCCACTAGCCAACCATGGTTCGAGTCTCGGACCTGGTGGCTTCTTTTCTCACTTTGCCTCTCTCTCTGTGTCTTTCTCTGGTCAAATTGGAAAATGATAATAAATAGGGACCAGCAGGTGGCGTGGTGGTTAAGGTGCTGGACATTCCCACATGGCCAAACACGGTTCAAGTCCCAGACCTGGTGGCTTGCTTTCTCAGTTTCCTCTTTCTCTGCATCTCTGGTCAAATTAAAATAAATAAATGAATAAGTAAATATTTTTAAAAAGAAAATGAATAAAGTTAAAATAGAATAATTTTTTTGGGGGGGGAGATGTTTTTGCTATAGGGCGCATGTGCTTGCTGGAAAGACAGAGAGAGACAAAGAGACAGAAAGCGAGAAATCACCCCCCAGGGGGGATGGCCATGCCACAATCCCTTCTCCTCCATTCTCCTGTTGGGATCTTGGGCACACACACACACACACACACACACGCCTGGTG